AAGCTTAAAACATCAAGTTCTTTAAACAACTTTCATAAGAACACTGCAGTCGTCAGTGGCGCAGTCATCCAAATTGACGAGATTTTCGAAGGAAAAACTGGTACAAGAGATCCATGAGAGTTGATTTTTCGTGCTGATGCCGATTAACCTTCTTCAGATAGTAATCAAAAGCCTCATTTGGGTTATGAGGTGAAGTTCAATAAACAAAGAATTGGTATTGGACATGGCTGGGCCCCTAATGGTTTACTAAAATTTGGCAGACCATGGAAAGATATTCTAAATGGCATGGACAATTACACAGCTGGCGGTGAGCATAAAGATGACTTTCCCAATCAAGGTAAAATAGTCTGGAAGTCGACATTCAAGAGACTCAAATGTTAAGGCTAAAATTTCTCAAATCTGTATGAACTGTACTTGTTCTTTTTTTTCAAGTTTTTCTTTCATTTACTTAGCTTAGTTAATAAAACAAAATTCTTCATAATTAAGCAATAAAATAACATACAACTTAATCACTAAGAACAGTCTTCAAAAGAGAATGAATTTACAGAAAACAATCAAGAAGATTTTTGATTTGAAACTGATCTAACTCAACTACAGTTTAGCGAAATCAAATATAAATATCATGAAATAGGGTGTGAATGTGGGTATTGCTATAGAGAAGATCCACACCTACACCCATTTCAATGAATTTGTACTTTCTCCTATAAATCATGAGATCAAAATCCGAAAGTAACTATTTTCATTATATTTGACCATCGTTGATCATTATGTTCGAGAGAAAACTTGTTGATGGAACAAGGGTGTGGGGTGTGTGTGTGGGTGGGGTGTGGGTGTGGGTTGGTGTGGGTGTGAGAAAATAGACACCCACCCCTCACACACCCACACCCACACTCGCCCCCTCGCACACCCACACCCAAGCATCGAATATCCTTATATGGAAAAGCCATACATGAAAGAAAAGAATTGATTCTCTGCTTTAATCAATTGTTATTGTCCATTTGATTGTTTGACTAAATTGAGCAACCATATCCATATCGAGACCGTACACGATTAAAATCTAGAAACGAAATTGAATGAAAAATCGGTCTGTATTTATTAGCGGATTCGCTATTTCTGGAAGTTCTATTTTAGCAGTGTGACATAAGATGTAGACCATCTGCATAGTCGATCTAGTATTTTGCTTCGGAATCATTAAGAATTTCGAGCTAGATGTTGAATAACTTCATAGCGATCCGAGAAACGGAAACTACTCAAACCGAGCTCCATGGAGTGATGGGACATTGCCTCCGATAGAGTAGGTCGTCTCCATTCGTAAAACACAGAGAGTACCTATGTAGGATACGATCAAATCTGGCTATGAATTCATCATCGAAGAAGTAAAAAGTTGCGATAGTTTCTTTTCTTTTGAGAAACAAAATCGCAAATCTGTTATTCCAAAAACTTTATTTTCACATCAAAAGATACAGAATGAAATTCTACACATATTCATGTGCTAATTCAAGGAAACTATGACCGTTTTGAGATTTTGCGTGAAAAAAAACCGACTGGAGCAGTTTCAAGATAACTGCAAAATCTAAGATTGATAGATTTTCTCTCGTATAATGTTTTTTTTTTAAAATTTGAAAGTATAATTGATAAGATAGCAAATTTTATGAAAATTTTTCTTCATCACCTGAGTGTGGATGTGGTATGATAAACTGCACACGAGGATCACCATACACACACCCTCTATTCATCCACATCTGCAATATTTTCATCCCATTTGCGAGATACCTATTCTTAGCTGAATTCTTGAAATCGCCTTTTATTAAGTAGAAGGTGAATGATTTTATTAAGTATGATCTATCCAGACATCGAATGACTTAACAACTTATAACATTGTAAAATAGGCAATAAACATATTCCATACTCATATTATCATTTTATGAGTCTTCAAGATGTCAAATAGCAACTAATTTGTTGATCAACACTAACAACAAGAAGATAAGAATTCTTTCTCTTAATACTTGTGTATATGATTGCTTTTTAGTTGTAAAATATTCCTGTACAAGAAACTTGTTCTTCTAAGTAGACACAATAAAATAAAATTTAACATGATGCTGTATTATTATGTAATTCTATTTGTGTTCACTTATGTAGCACAATGTCAAATAGATCAAATGAATATAGTTTCATCGAGAACAAAATCAATCAACGAACATATGTGTGTAGTCAATTGTTCGTTTACAATTGCGTTTAATGACCAATGGAATATACCATCGACTTGTAATCGAGTGAAAACAAATGTAACATGTGCAATTTTGATTACAATGGATTTTACTCGACGTCAAATTGATATTTTACTTACTGGCGATGTTCAACTTGATGTCGATGATAATTTTAATAGTATTATTATACAAACATTACAATTTAGGTTTTTTAACCAATCAGTTCAACATTTTGTCGAATATTTATGTGCTGCAGGAGATGATTGTGATTGGTTATATGCAAAACAAAAAGTTCCACCTCTATTAAACATCGACTATAGTCCACTTTATAAAGCTATAGAACCATTGTTGTATGAATCAACATCAAGTACGAATGTTGCGAAATGCTATCAAAATGATACGCTCATTGATTGTCTGGGAGGCATGTGCTCGTATTTACCATTTGATATATCTAGTATACCATCGATCAGTCGTTCTTGTTCGAGATATAATCAGTTTGAACTTGGTATTATTATTGAACGACGACAAATCGATCCTGGTCCATCGATACACGATTTGGACGTATTTGGATTTCAATGTAATAAAGATCAATGTAACGGACCAAAAAATGAAGATGATCTTAGACGTGTAGTTCAATCGAATAATGATTGGATACTTCAAATTGAAAATGATTCTTCATCTTTACAAATGACTAACAACTATGTCATACTATTTTTTGTATTTATAATTAACCACAAACATTTCGAATAGAATTTTATTTTTGAACTAATCGATTCATTTTATGGAATTTCATTCATTTTTTTTTTACTTTAATGAGTCTCTTATAGCTTCAACTAATTTAATCGATCGGATCCCTTCGGCTGACATTTGTAGAGTAGATTGAAAAATTACAGTTCAAGAAAAGAACGTGTTG